AATAATAATAATAAAATAAAATGAAATAAAATCTATCAATTGTCTATTTCTGGAATTTTTACTGAGAACTGCAAGAAACTTAGAATGCTTGATGATTACCATCGCTCTGTTACAGTAATATTTTATAGTTTCATTTGTGAAGATCCTACACTTTTCATGTTAAATTTATCCCTAAATGTTTATGGTTCCCTAATTTCTTGACATATGCTATGATCTAGAGCAAAATGTCCCCCCAAACCCTCATGTGTTCAGAGGCAGAGCTTGTGGGAAGTGATCAGATCATGGAGGTGCTAACCTCATAAACAGATCACCCTACTGATGATTTTCTGAAGTGAACGGCTATTTAAGAGGTGGGGCCTAGTTGGAGGAAGTCGGTCCCTGGGCGTGCTTTGAAGGATGCATCTCTTCTTGGGCTTTTTCCCTGCTATCTACTTCCTGGCTGCTATGAGCTGAGCCCCTGTCCTCCAAAACACGCTTTTGCCATGACATTTCTGGAGCCAGCCTAGTACAGACTGAGAGCCCTGAAACTGCGAGCGAAAATAAGCCTTTGAGACTTCAAGTTGTCTACGTCAGGTTTTTGTCCCAGGAACAAAAAGCTAACAGCTTATCAAACATTTATATGGAATTGAAGAGAAAAAAGGAATAGGTACTATCTTTTCTAATTTGATTATCTTTACATAATCTTTACAGCCATTTTTAAAGAAAGGCACTATAGCATGTGAGAACAAGTTTAAAAATTATACCATTTGTGATTTGAATCTCAGTGAAAGGATGTAGTTTTCTATATGTCCTTTTGGCAAGCTATTGAGCCTCTCACTTTCTGGAAATACATTTCTTAAAAGGAGAACAATAATATTTCTTTTAAAATAATACATTTAAGAATTACATGACAAAGTAAATAGCTTGCCTTTTAGTATCTAACTTGCAAATGCCTCCAGTTATTATTTTACATATTATTCTTCTACAAATTATATGCTTTCAATATTTGCATGCAAAAAAAATTATTTAGTAAAAGATTCATACAGGTCATTGAACTTTTAAAAAACCAGTGTTTTTTGAGAATTTAAATCACTTACCTTATGCTATAATCATCTTCCTCTTCGTATGATTTATTATGTGTTGAAAAAGGCCTAGATTGTACCTCTTGCTGATCTCTCTAGTTCAATGAGTAAAGACAAGTCATATGAAACATAGGAAAAAAAAAATTCTCAGTTTTCTTCTTTGCTTTCTTTTGGAAGAAAAGAAATTGTTTTCAGGTGACTCTACATATGAATGTCTCATTCCACTATAATGCGTGGTCCTTCTGTACAAGTATTTTCCTGGTCTGACACAGGTAAAACTAAAAGTGGAATAAAAACATTTGTTTCTAGTAAAAAAAATTTATTTTGGACATAGGGCCTCGCTATATATAGTTCATGCTGGGCTTGAACTCATTATGTAGACCATGCTGGCCTTGAGCTGGGAGTAACCCTCCTGTCTCAGCCTCCTAAGTGCTGGGATTACAGGTATGTGACACCACATGTAGCTACTAAAATATTTAATATACAACTAGCAAATCTGTGAACATTATCTAAATATATTACTTGAAATACTATATATGACACATTTCTTACTCCTAAGTTAACAAATAATTAAGTATTTGTAACAGGCATTAAACTATTCCTAGATTTCCTTCCCTGCCTCCATCAATTCCACTTTTAGAAGGAGATTAAAGGAAGACATAATTACACAAGGGTAAAAACTATTAAGTTTGAATGCATCCAATTTATTCCTGTAAAGAAAGCTATTCTATCTTATATACAATTAAAATTGCAAATGCCGATGTGTAAGAAGGGATGTTTAAGCAGGAACATCCAATCTGGTACCAGAATAGAGAATGGTATTCTTAGATAAAACTTGTAACATCATTCTTGACTAAAAATGTGGTTGTAGTCTAGTCCTAAGAATTTCAATTAGAATCAAGTGCACAGTTTAAGAAACAAATTATTATTTGAATATCAGTGATGATTGTTATCATTTATTCAACTTTCATCTAGAGGCAATTTGATTTCTATCCCTATTGAAGTATCCATGTTAATTCTATGTAGCTACTCTCAAATATAAATCTTTTGGTACCAGAAAACGTTGCTACATATCAATTTTGTTACATTATTGCAGCACCTAAATACAAAACATTTTTTCAGTGGCATTTAGAAAATGTATGCTTACCAAACCAGATACTTACATATAAACATAGCTATATCTCTGCATGTATATTCAGGCTAAGTTTGTGATGCTTCATTGAGCTGAACATTTATCTTTGAGTACTTTTTTGAGTGTATGCTATGCAGCAAATTAAAAAGTTAAAAAAAACTAGCATTTACGTGAAATTATTGTTACTTGTTCATCTACTTACTATTGCTTCCTCCGCTTGTCTAATGAGATCAGCTGTTTTTACTTCCAGTTCTGCATTTAAACGCCTAAAAGCAGAAAGTTAGTAATTGTTATAATGAAATCCTAATAAAAACAAACTTCATCAATTACCTATTACCAAGTAACCATAATCAACAAACACTAAAATATATACATAACATCTTACTCAAAAATGAACACAGCTATTAGAACATATCTCGAAATTCCCATGGTTGTTCCTTCTCTGTGGTAGGAAGACCAACAGTGTAAGTGCTGGGCCGTCTGTGGCCTACTGCTCACTTCAAGTGAAATAATTTATCTAATAAATTCAGGAATAATAAACTGGGTGGGTTCTACACAGTTCCACTTGTCATCCACTTGATCTTGACTTATTTTCACAGAATATAAATTATAGTCTTGCTACAGACATGGCCCTTGCTGGACCTAAGGCTGTGGCAGCCAGCACGGGTTACTGGGAAGCAAACGTGGGAGTTTGTGAGCAGACGCAATGGGGTTTGCAACTGGACTACTTATTTCTCTATCAGCTTCATTAGAAACAAAGGGGATTACTTTGACTTCCATTGCCAGTCTACTTGGAATCTAGAAAGAACAAGAACACTTCTCCCTTGGACCCATCAAAGACTCAGAACTGCAAGAATGACAATATCATTGAGGGTAGCCAGGCGTGGTGGCACACACCTGTAACCCCAATACTCAGGAGGCTAAGGCAGGAGGATCGTTGCAAGTTCGAGGCCAGCCTGGG